CATGAGTTACACGAAAGCAAGGTAAATTCTTTATCTGAAGAGGACGATTCTTTGGAGGGCGTTCGAAGAAAAACTGACACATAGTTGCATTACATAGTAGATATGCATTGGTTTATTTGATCTTGGCAGAGTACTTGAGAGGATTATCAGCCTAAGAGAAAAAGTTCCTTCATGGAGGATTTCTTAGACAAACTAGCTCATATCTGCGTTACATAGCGGGAAAACTACGAAAACGCCCATGAAGCCAACCCTTTTTCATGGAACCGAACACTGATTAAACTACCAGCATCCAGCAACTTTCCCATTCAGAGGCTCATTACATATTGGGAAACAACAAAAAAAAAAAAAAAAAAGCAACTACGCAGTGATCTCACTCATCGAAATTCGAACATAGATTGAACTACTAATATTTATGTGTTGTTTTGCCTGTTGGTGCGCATGAATAAATTCGTCGGCTGCTATTTCAACGGCTGGCGTTGGAAAATTTGAAGGCAAAGTGAACTGCTTACAATATCTGAAGATAATCTAAGGTCTAATTTAAATGTCAATCTTGTAATAAAAGTCACGTATTTAGACTATGGAAAGGCTGCAAAGTACTTTTTTAAGCTAGTCGGTAACTCTAAAAGAAACCTATGAAAAATTTTAAAATTGGTGACGCATATAATCACGAAAGCTTAGTAGCAAATTCTTGAACAATTCCTTCATTTACGCATAGTCTAACGGATTCACGTAGTCAATGAAAGCGATCGATGACTTCCAGTATCGCTTCCTGTGCAATTTTGGGCTTTTTAAATAGAAAGCAGACGCCTTTCAGTTTAACAAAATGACTTTAGTTTGTATTAAATTTTTATTTTCCATAGTTACATTTTTCAAACGCATTCAACTTAAATCGAGTATAACGTAGTACTCTCAAAATAAACCTTGGATCGTGAGACTAAGCAGTTGCAACTAGCGGAAACTTTCGCCGAAAGTCGAAGTTGTAACAAAGCATCAATAACGGCTAACCTATGCTGTTACACGCTGTCTGAAAATGAATAATTCACACTCTGGATCAAACTGATGAAAATAAAGCATAAGCTATAATAAAGCCAAACTAGTAAGGCGACTTAAAACTTACTAAAATATGAGATACAGAAACATTAATTTATATTAGATACAGGGGCGTAGCTAGAGGGGGGCAAGGAGGGGCATCTGTCCCCGGGCGCAGAATCGAAGGGGCGTCAAACTGATGTTACGACATTTTAGAATTAAATGTTTTCCATCCTTGGCAAGCCATGGAGGTAGGAAGTAAGATGGAGTCGCCCTAAACAAGTTTCTCCCGTACCCTGCTCTGAAGCACCGGCGATCCCTACGTGGTGACCAAAACATTGGGTCATTTACCATTGAGTTCTATGGGATTTGACGCGTTCCGGTGTAAATATTTTGTAATTACGTCACAAATATACATATAAATGTATATATTTTCTTTTTCTACAACACTTCAGAGTCCTAAGTATGTGAAACAACATATTTTTAAACAACATTTCATTCTGAACGGAATTAAATGCTATACTTTTCACAGAACAGTTTTCTCAGATGGTCTAATTGAATGAAATATTTTCACAAGTTTTCGTTAATTACTAGAAAAAAAAATTTAAGGTAATTCGATTTGATTCGGTTAGGTACAAAATTAAGATCAAAGTTTATTGTATTATTAATATTAAAATTATGCATTATTTCTTTTCTATTTATAGAGCTTCTACCTAAAATACTTTCTTAAATATGATATGATTTTTTGGCTTCTGAGGCATCTTTTAAATCGAAAAATGTAAGTCAATTTTTAATTAACGCTCTATTCGGTTCATTTTAAATTAGAGAATTATTAGGAATTAGCGAAATACTTTAAATAGTACTTGACTTTCTCTGAAGATTTCTGAAAGTTAATAAAATAAGTTTTTTTTTAAAGTATAACTTAAAACTTGTAACTGAGTTATTATAAAATGTAAGGGGAATAATTCTTTAATTATACTTACCAGATTTTTTTTTACCCTTCATTTCAACAAACATATTCCAAAACTCTATTACGTTCTTAAATGCAATGAATTTAAGTATTTTGTCAAAGGCAGATACATGCTTTTTTGCAAGCACATGCATAAAATACCCATACATATTTCCTATTTATCATTTCCGGCATGTGCAAATCTTTAATTTCTGTGCATTCACATATTTTCGTGTAAAGTAATTTACACTAATTTAGCATACAACCCGAAGTTTTACATAAAAAAATATATATAATATATTTGAATGAAATTATAAGTATTATTTTTAATACCCACCCAAAGGTCAGTTTTTTTCTTCAAATTCCTCCACGATGGCATCTCTCTTTTAGGCAGATAGCCCTTGCATGGCGTTACTCTATTTAATAAAACTTAATCTGACCGTGCCTAATTACAAATATTTTACATACATAATTTATATCTACTCGTACATTTAGCCATCGTTTCAACTTTTCAAATCTTCAAGAATAAATTTTGGGCAGATCTCTTTTAGCAATTTTCTTTAAATCTATATTTTTGTAGTGCAACAGCTTAGAATTTTATAAACCAATTCATAATCAAAATGCTGTTGTTAGTTATCGAAAAATAACGAAGATGTGATTTTTTGCGTAAATGTCAGTAACTATACAAATTGCTATTATCTATCACACTATGAATGTTTCTTTCATGCGAGAGTGTCCCTTTTTCGATTTCTATGAACTGTCGTGTGTCGAAATACTATCAAATCTTGTCAAGCGAGCTTCTGAATGTAACAAAGAACACCCATCTGGTGACCCAAGCTTCAAAGCAGTGCTTCACTTCTAGCGCGGGAGGTAGGAAAGGGAAGAGGGGCCATTCCGCGCTAGAAGTGAGGCACTGCTTTGAAGCTTGGGTCACCAGACGGGGTGTTCTTTGTTTACATTCAGAAGCTCGCTTGACAAGATTCTAGTATTTCGACACACGACAGTTCCATAGAAATCGAAAAAGGGACACTCTCGTATGAAAGAAACATTCATAGTGTGATGGATAATAGCAATTTGTATAGTTTACTGACATTTACGCAAAAATCACATCTTGGTTATTTTTCGATAACTAACAACAGCGATTTTGATTATGAATTTGTTTTATAAAATTCTAAGCTGTTGCACTACAAAAATATAGATTTTAAGAAAATTGCTAAAAGAGATCTGCCAAAATTTATTTCTAGAAGATTTGAAAAGTTTGAAACTTGATAGCTAAATGTAAATATGTTAAAATGTTATATATGTTAAAATATTTGTAATTCGGCACGTAGGTCAGGTTAAGTGTTTAGTAAATAGAGTAATGCATGCAAGGACTAAAGGAAGCGATGCCATCGTGGAGGAATTTCGAAGAAAAACTGACCTTTGGGTGGGTATTAAAAATAATGCATGTAATTTTAATTCAAATTATGCATATACATATTTCTTATGCAAAATTTTAGGGTATATTCTAAATTATTATAAATTACTTTACTCGAAAAATATAGTAAATGCACAGAATTAAAGATTTGCACATGCGGGAAATGATAATAGGAAATATGTATGGGTATTTATGCATGTGCTTGCAAAAAGCATGTATCTGCCTTTGACAAAATACTTAAATATTCATTAAAATTATAAAAATGTATTTGAATGAAGAATTTATTCATTATAAACAACTGTGAAAGTACTGTGAAGAAATCTAATATTAAAGTATCTAATTTATAATGATTATAATGTTATCTAAAAATATAATAACTTAATTTTGAATTGTAAACATAAATTGAAATCCTGTTGACAAATATGTTATAAAACTATTAGCAAGAATTGTTCGGATTGGAAAGCAATCTGTTAAAGGTATTGTCAAGCAAATGCTATGAGATGCGCACTTAAGAACGTAATAAAGAGTTTTGGAATAGTATGTGAATGAAGGGTAAAAAAAAATCTGATAAGTATAATTAAAGAATTATTCCCTTTACATTTTATAATAACTCAGTTACAATTTTTAAAAAAAAAAAAAAAAAAAAAAAAAAAAAAAACTTATTCATTCCCTTTCAGAAATGTTCAGAGAAAGCAAATACTATTTAATACCTATTTAATTATTAGAATTAGCGAATACTATTTAAAGTATTTCGAATTCCTAATAATCTCTAATTTAAAATGAAACCGAATAGAGCTTAATTTAAATTGACTTACATTTTTCGATTTAAAAGAAGCCAAAAAATCATGTCTATTTAAAAAGTATTTTAGGAAGAAGCTCTATAAATAGAAAAGAAATAATGCATAATTTTATTAATAATACAATAAACTTTGATCTTAATTTTTGTACCTTAACCGAATCAAATCGAATTACCTTAATTTTTTTTTTCTAATGTAATTAACGAAAACTTGTGAAAATATTTCATTCAAATTAAACCATTCTGAGAAAACTGTCCTGTGAAAAGTATAGCATTTAATTCCGTTCAGAATGAATGTTTTTTTCACATACTTAGGACTGAATGTTGCAGAAAAAGAATATATTTACTTTATATGTTGCGACGTAATTACAAATATTTACACCCGAACGCGTCAAATCCCATAGAACTCAATGGTAAATGACCCATGTTTTGGTCCCCAAGGATCGCCGGTGCTTCAGAGCAGGATACGGAGAAACTTGTTTAGGGTGACTATCTTACTTCCTACCTCCATGGTGGCAAGCAGTAGGGGGCGCGAAATCTTCAGTTGTCCCTGGGCTCTGAAAACCCTAGCTACGACTCTGATTAGATACACCTATTACTGCTTTACCAAGTTAAATGTCTTAATGATTCTTAGGAAAAGCGGCGAAGTATCAGGAAATGCTAAAATGTTTCTTAATAGTACATGATTTAAAATATATAGAATAAATTGAGAGGGCGTTTCCCTAAATATTTTATTGCTATCTTAAATTAATATTTATCCCTAGTTCAGGTTTGACAGCATATATAATCATGATGCAAAGCAAAATTACCTATATTTGACTTGATGAGGACATCAGGGTCTCTAGTGTAGATTTCACCTGCAAAACGAAATTTAATGAATTATACTTCAGGCATTTATTTAAATCATCTACTGCAATAAATAAATATTTAAGATAAGGATCTTCCGTGAAGATAAATTTTACCATTAACAGAGAGAATGTTCAGAAATTTAAAGTAAAATATTTAAGTAATGGAAAATTACAGCTTTCCACAGAAATCAAACAGGACAAAACCTACAATAGGTAATTAATCGAAGCTCAAAATTTTTACAGACTTGCTAAAGTGACCATGACGATTACACGACTCGATGTTTCTGAATTTAATAACAGTAACTTTATTTAGTATTTCCTAAAATAACGCGAGTGCTATTTAAGTAGCTGTGCCTTTCAGATCAGTGTTTGAAAATTTATCTTATCTGTCCTCCTACCGAATAACTGGCTGAAAATAATTTGCGAAGTAGAATAGCATCCTGCATACAAATTTGAAAAATTTCAAATGTGTATTTCATAACTATACGTTTTGCCTTTGCTAACTGTCCTTATAAATCAGCCCTAGCAGTTTGAAAGTTACCTGAACATTAGTAATTTGACTTAAGTTTGAATTCTAGAGAACGGTCTGACTTCATCGGTATTTTAGAGTTTTTGGCCATGCGTGACACAAAATGAAATAATTTCTCAAAGTATGTCTCAAGACTGTATTTCTTCTCCTCAGGCGGATAATAGTGTGCTTTTCCTTATTCAACTAAGAAAATGACTTTCTACGTATTACAAAATGCTTAAATTTCATTGCAGAGAAATTGGAAAAGAATTCCTTAGTGCATATTGTTTGGATTTAAAGCGATAGAATGCCAAGAAGTTTATTCTGCAAAAATTTAAATGCCTGATCAATTTGTAGAAATTTACTACCAGACAAGTCAAATAATCCTTCCTTTCCTTCAATGTCAGTTTGAATAATTAGTCCCTAGACAGCTTCCCCTTTTATATTTATCAAGATTTTTGCAATGCAGAAATGAATCTAAAAAATTCCTACCACAATACATTTCTCTGAAGCAACATTGAGTCTCTTGAAATATAGGTAAGCATCCATTCCTTATATGATAGCCAAACATGGGCTCGAAGCAGTTGCGATCCCGGCATCCCTCTTCTCCATCGAATTCGGCTGAGCAGACGCAGATTTTGCATGGATCTCTAGTCTTCATAACATCTCCAACTTTATAAATTCTATCGAGATGTGTACAGTATTTGACTGAAATGAAATATGTAATGAGGATTTAAAAAATAGAATCAAATATTCAGAATTTTATAATTATTGATATTTTGATTTATTCAGGACCCATCTTAAAATTACATATTGTATAAATAACTTGCCGATAAAATTATGTATAGTAAAATTTATATATATATATATATACACACACACACACACATATATATATATATATATAGAGAGAGAGAGAGAGAGAGAGAATAACTCATGCCTCTTATAACCAAAATCTCAACATGCAGAATAGTCGACATCCTTCTAGAATTAAGAAAATTTTAAATATTATTTTACTCATCCACTTTACATTTGGTCTGGTAGCTTATGTAACAAGTCAATGCTTCGCTTCTTGTATTACATAGGTAACATTTCTTCTATGTGATCTAGCTATTGTCAGTGTTAATTACTATATTACTCTTAACATTTGATCTACACTAATCGAGCATATCGACCACATATCTTAATGAAGCCCTTCAGTTATTTTAAATAATTAATGTGAATGTTTGACGATTTAAGCAAATTGAAAAACTTAAATACAGTGAAACCTCAGTCCACGAGTTTGATCAGTTCCTGAAAGCTGTTCATTCATCATATTTATTAGCAAGTCGAAATTCTCCCACACAAATGAATGCTAAAATCATTAATCAGATCCTTGACAATAGACTTGTGTAATTTGTGCAGATTTATTAAGCGAAACCAATGGGAATAATCAAGTCTAAGGCAAAGAATATACACAATATTAAACTGATAAAATAGATTGAAGCTTAATCACTACTCTTGTGTTAGCAAGAGTAAATGGCATACGTGAAAAATGACAAGGAAGAAAAGAAAAAGTCCTTTTTGATGCAGAGTTTTAGGATATTTGCAGTCGCTTTCATAAAAACGAGAATTAATTCTCATTAACCGAGGTATCAGTTTGTGTATCATCTTCACTTGATTCATTTACCGAGCTCCTGCGTCACTCAAAATTAGTCGATTGCCTTTTATCTACGTTTCAGAATGCTTCCAAAGTGAAACATGGTATTGCTTAAAATGCTCCTCTCGTAACATACTACTGCTTGCTGACCGTTACATGAAACGTTTCAGCTTACACCCTTTTACTCAAATTTTATAGACAAAAGAACGAAGTATCTCATTTTCTCTTTAGAAACAGTTCTTTCACAATATATTGCTGCTTTTTGATTTGTTACAATAACGCTGAAGTCTTCACTGCTTTCTAAACAATCTGGTATTAATTTCTTCGAGGCTGAATTTACGGTCCACCAAGTCACCTGCTACCAGGCTTTATTAAAGAATTAAGCAATGGAAAGTATCAAAGCCATGTTTTTAGAAGTCCCTAAGAGTTAAATAAGTGTTAGAGATTACCTCAAAACGCCTTTGAAAAATTATGCTGTTGACTTGAATGTTCAGAATTCGAGACAACTTTTTCCATCCGACGCAGTTTTTGCGTCACGCAATTTGTTCATGAGCCATAATGATGAAAGATGTTTCATGATACGAGGCTCGGTAGTCTTTCGTAATCCACGAATTGAAACACAGCGAAAATACCCTGACGACGTAATTTTTGGCAAGATATAAAATATACAACTGCTCATCTCTATCGCTATTCTGTTCGTTTTCGAACAGTGTTGCATACTTCGCAAGCGCGAAGTTAAAATCAAGTATTAACTTGGTCTATTTCACATGTTTTTCGTAATAAACGCCGTGCTCTATTCTTTAGTGCAATTCATGCATTGTTGCATCTGATCTCAATATTGTCATCTGAATAATTTGAATTTTTGTAATTTGCGGCCTTTTCGAAATTTTACATTCAACAAAAATTTAACTCTTCGCATATTACATGCATCTATTTAAAACTGGTAGTCTTAATACTTAATTTTAAGTACTACATTAACCTATTGTTAATTTCCAATCTGCATTGAATTAATTTCTGCATAATGTAAAATTTATATAAATCGGAGAGTAATTTAATTATTTATATTCCAACTGATAGAATTTTTAACAACTCTCTCATTCAAGTAATACTCTTAAAACTTAATTTCGTACCTTTTCTTATCACGTATTTTTATATTCAGCGTCTGTTTTTAGTTCAGTCACATTTCTAAGAGTAGGAAAAAACTCCAAAAAACGAAATATCAAGAATTCTACTGAGTAGTATATAGTATAATAAGACAAAGAGCAAGAAAGATAAATTGCACTTGCTCTTACGTTACAAGATGATCTACGAGCTTCTACAAAGAAAAGAGAACTTATAATCCTTTTACCCTTTTAAGCGTCATGTATCTGGTTTACAAAATATCCAAGTTAAGGTTGAAAACTCGAAATTATGGTTTCAAAAGACAAGGCATTGAAAAACTTGTGCAACGTATTTTCAAGTTACTGAAATAGGATTTCACGTTACTGAAGAAAGAACCGATTTACTTCATGACTTTACTCGTAGATATCTATTTTTCACAGCTATATGTCAAGATTCTTTTGAAATTCGCGAGACGGAAAACAAACATTTCTTATATTATTTAAATTAAAATGAACACAATTAGAAAATTAAATGACAAATTTAATATCTGATAAGAACTGAAGTGTAGTCAGAAATTTACATAAAAAATTAAAATAAGTTACTTACTTGTGTCTAAATCATAATGAACTGAAAAAGAGGAAAAAGATCAAATATTAGGTCAACAACAAACGCATGCAATGAATAAGTTAAATATTTGAATGGTTATGTAACTAACAGCTTGTAATTTGCTGGCTCTAGTGTAGAATTGGGTGCCCCTTCGATCAGACACAATGCTTTAAAAATTTTGGCGATGAAAACTCACTTCTGGTTACCATAATAGATTTAACTTTGTTTTAGCTTCCCGATTTTATTTAAATGAAAACGGATCGATGTGTACATGGACACAGAGTTTGTGCAATTCTTTGACTTCTCATTTTGGTTTTATGTAGCGGCCATCGTGAAATTGTGCCTTTCTGGCGCCGATCTTGGAGTCAAAAAAGAATTGCCAGAAAACAAGGGACACCCAATTGTAAACTTTTACCAATTTGCTTAATAAAATGAAGTTGATTTTCATGAAAACGAAGGTACATAGTACATTTTGGATCATCCATTACGATCCGTACCTTTTCATTATGGCATATCAGATTTATGATTCATATCTCAATCCACATCACAGTCTTAGAATCATTATGACCTATCTTTTCATGATAATGCAAAGTGTAGGGCCAGTATACATCGTCTTTGCATTTGAACTAGTGTACGAGTGCATTGACATAAATTTCATGTTATTTTAACTCACGACGGTTAGATTGGATTGGATTATTCAATTATGGAAAAGCACACGAGGGCTATCTGCCTAAAGGGAGGGATGTCTTCGTGGAGGACTTTCTAAGCACGACAGTTAGAATTCGTCGAGATTAAACCAAACGTAATCTTAAGATCAAATATAATTAAAATACGAATCGTTTATCATGAACACGAGCTTTTAAGATCTGTTTAAGAATACAAACTCAAAATTCATTTTCTTCATCACATCCATCAGACAGACTGATGTAATATCTTCGCGTTCCTTTAATTATTTAACATCAATTTATCATCATATTTTCCTTAATAAAAATAAAGAACATAATAAACATTTGGATAGTCAAAATCTGTGCAGAACATCTTTCTCCAGATAGCGATTGGCGGAATTAGCTTGCATTCTTGAGGTTTGGGGCGAAATACGAGTGTGTGTTCTTTCCCTGTTTTTAGGCACAGCCCTAGCTGCTTAACCATATTCAAATAAATCAAGCCTCTTTCCCTTTTGCTTACGCACTTAGATTTACTTTCCAAGGCGAGTCTTGGAGTAACAGTGTCGTTGATGAGACGAAATGATTACTGTACTTCTGCTCGGTTATTAAAATGAAGAAAGAAATTTCAATAGATGAGAGATTAATACAGAGTGACAGACACTGATCCCAAGGAAAAGAAGACACAGCCAATTTCTTGATAATATTTGAAAATTTAAAATGAAACTGGTATAAAAAGTTTAGCTATGTGTACTAAAAATTAAACTTTAGCTACAATTTTTTTTTTGCCATATTAACCATGACATATTTTGAATTAAATTTGTTAAGTTTAAGAATAAATTAAACGAGATTTACAAGGGCTTTCTATATTGTCACTTCTATTTTTCCTTACTATTCTCTTAATCTCCCAAAAGAGTTCTGCCGGTTACCTAGTCTACAATATATGAGTAAGAAGATGACAAAAGGGTTTGCTCAGGTTATTTAGCTACAGTGTAATTTACAAAAGGATTTCCGTACGTATATTTTAGTCTTAAATGGCGGAACTAAAGAAAATTGCCTTCGAGAATACGAAAACTACTCCAGTTATACGAAATTCATTTAAATGTTTAATGCAGGATTACACGCAAATAATTTAAATTTATTCTGTTTAGAAATCCGACATCTGAAATTATGGAGATACAAATAAAGAAGGAAATCTTTCTCTTTAAAAATTATTTGCCATTCTAGGACAGCTAAGTGACTTTTTAAAAAGGTCTCCCGAAATTTAGTTACGTTAAAACTCATGATCTGCCCCTAATTATTAAAAAATTTAAATATAGTACCGACATTACAAATATGCGAAGGACGAAAAATGCCAAGAAAATCGGCTTCGTAGCAAAGGCGAAAATTGTCAACATTTGACCGAAATAAAGCAGCCAACAGGGACTAAGCTAATTCTCACAGTGTAATAATGCAGAGTTAAAATAAGCCTAACCAAAATATATACTACCATGCTTAATAAGAAAACTTAATATAGCTTATTGTTAAGTAGCTTGTTTTATGGATGAAACCTGCCAGAATATTTTAGTGGATGTCCTGCTATCTTTTTATACAGCACACGAAAATACCTCTAGGATACAATTTTTATGTTGGTTAGTTTAGTTGCTTCAAATTAAATTTTCGGCATCATTGACTTCTAGATGGATCTAACTTCATATGTACGCTTTTTTTAAGTTGTTCTATTGACCTGATAGGGTACGCGAAATACGAACTGACGTGGCAGATTAGAAAATAGTTCACCTCCGCCTATGGCATGACGGAGAAAATTGTTGGTAAAAACAAAGTGTATATACAGTTTGCTTTGACTATGAGTCTTAGTGCCATTCCGTTAGCATGCGATACCGTAAATTGCAATCGACAGAGTTGCAAAAATGCATTCCGAAGAAATGGTATTGGGACTAAATACAGAAATAAAAAAAAGTAAATACAAAGACTGAATGGATAATCCCGAGATTATACTTTTCTTTCCACTCTCACGATACAGGGCGATTCAAAATGAATATAGCGATAGCAAACCGTTATAACTATTTAATTGAAAAGAATGTATGGATAAGAATTACACAGAATGTAAAGAGAAGTTTAAAATATCGTTTATATACTTCAAAAATGTTCTGAGACTCTCTGGTAGCAATGACAAAATCAAAGCGCTAGCTCATTTCACGCTATGCATTCTGAAGCACATCTGAAACCACCAATGCAAGGGCATTAGAAATGCGCATTTTGAATTCTGGAATTTGTTTGGAAATGGAAGCACATACAGAAGGTCATTCAGAGACCTCCATAAAAAGAAACAGACCCCTTTTGCCGAAAAGTATTCTAGAACTCAAAATGCACTTTTCCAATGCACTTACGTTGATGACACCAGATATGCTTCAAAATGAATGACGTGTACATGTTACCAAGGAGAGTCACATAGAACATTTAAAAAGTATAAAAATTGAACTCGTACATTCTGTGCAATTCTTATCGACAAATTCTTTTCACTTAAATACTTATAGTCGTTTCTAAGCTTTATATTCATCTTTCTGTAAAAATGCCATGGCAATTCCCATAATATTAACCTCTTAACCTACGATTTAGATTCGAAGATGTTGGGCCGAAATTGTATACAAGCTCGCGCAGCGTTCGTGACATTTGCACGACTTGTGTAACACGCTAATCCGGGCAATCGTAAACATGACGAATTATGCAATTTTCGAAGAAAGTATAGGCGAATAATTATTGACGATGCATCCGATGACGATCTACTACCAGAGTCCTGGCTTTGGAGAGAAATAAGAAATAATCCAAAAATCTGGGACTATACGATGACTCCTGGCATAAGAGAGGAAGCCTTATGTCAATTAGGAGGAAGTAGAGGAGAATTTGATATATTTAATCTAATATTTGATGACATATTTTGGAACAATATTGTAACCGAAATGAATCAGTATGCAGATCAAGTAAGAGAAAATCCACATAGAACACGAGTGTAAAAAGTGTCAAGTTCCGTTACATGTACCAGAAATGCTTTGAAATATATCATACCGTTACAGATTACTAATTTTGTATTTTGTAGTTTTGTATAAATAAACATTTTGTAATGCTTTCGTCTACCACAATTATTGCAGACTGTAATTGCGTATCAAATATTCCGCGTAATAATCACTTCTGGCCCGATCACCGTACGCCGGCTATGCCCGTGAAAGTTAGGTTTAGCCCGACCATCGTACGCGGGAAATGCCAGTCATTGTAGATTAAGGGGTTAACTTAGTTTTTAAATTATGCCATGTTACTTAAATGAGCGATCTCAAAGCAATATGGCTTGTTTTTTTAAGAGTTTCCAATATTCCTGGTAACTGATAAACATTATCATCAATATATTATATTTGGCAGTTTTTGAATAATTCATCTCTGACAGAATAATTATTTGCGTGCAATCTAACAAGTATTTGAGTTATTTCGTCGATATGACCTGATAGCTTTGAAGGAAATTCATAATTTATTACTGAAAAGAGACGAATTACATAACAAAAAAAATCCAGTTTTTCCTTGGATAATACTTACGGCATATATTCTCAGGACAACAGCCTTGAGGTTTGTAACCCAAAGTGCAAGAATCATTTTCGACTTCTACCAAATGGCAGAAGTCCGGCCAGCATGTGGCAAAAGCCCCGTTTTCATCATCTTGGCATGGACAGCTAACACACGTCCCAACATTGTCGTAGGTTTCCCCAGGGTAGTAAAATTTGCCGTCATGAAAACACACTATAGAAATAAGTATAAATTAAGAACCAACAAATAAGCTTTTAAAGGCTAGCTAGGGTATGGTTAACCAAAAAAAAAAAATGTTTGAGGGCTATTTGCACAAAGGATTAATTTTTCAGATGTCGTTAATATTAGACTCGTTATCATTTGCGTTACACATACGAAAAAATGAAAATTCCATTTTTTAATTTGACGATACGAGTATGGGAAGCGTTGCCGCCCTAACACGCAAAATTCTGAAAATTTACTTTGAGCTCGTATTACTTTGAATTTACCATTTATTAGTTACGCATCTTTGAAGAATTTGATAATTTGGTTCATAATCAAAAAATTCTTTTGAAAATAAAATATTGCGGTAATGAAAGTTTTAGCATGTAGTTAAAATTAAGCTGATATAAGTTTCAAACCAGAAGTTTCGTTGAATGTCCTTTCTCAATAAAATTTTATTGTAGCCTCCTACCAGTGAGAGAAGTTAATACAACCTAAAAAACTGAACATTTAAAACAGCAACAAATTAGAAATTTAATATGCTGTTAATTCATCGTTATCGAGTATTTTTAGGAGATAGAAACTTCTGCAAGCGATTCTTTAAGTTTAGATGGTATTTGTTTAGGTATGCAAAAGGTGCGGCATTAGACAAAATACTGTCTTCTGATCAAGTTGTGATTATTAAGATTTAAACTTATGGAATTTGAACCATTCGATATTTGAATTTATATTCAAAGCAACTCCTTTCAGAAATAGCTTCAAATATTTTAAAATAAAGCAATTTTTATTATTGGGAAAATTAAGCAGATTTTAAGTCGGCTCGTGTAAGAATTACTTTTCTGTAAAAATGCGTTGGTATTATGTCTAAAATAATGAACGGGTAGAGACTAATGGCTTAACAATCTCTACTTGTAGAGCTACCAAGAAAAGCAAATTTGATAATTCACGACAATTACCGAAGTATGAAGAAACTTTTAAAGCGCGTATAAAAGTCTAGGTCTATTTAACCAAGAGTGCTTGTTTTGGAAGTAATGAAAAAGAATCCTCAAGTTTGGTCCGTGAAAGAATTTCAGAATGTAATGTTTTTGTCAGTTGCTTGAAAGTAAAATAACTAGTAATTTTTCTGTACTGAAAAACACAGGAGCTTCAATACACATGACATTTATACTGAAGGGAATGATATCTATCCATAAAAATATCAAGATTAAGGAAGTATTTATTCCGTTGACTTGCGGTTATAGAATTTTGATTCGCTGAAATATTCTAGATATTATTCAATGCACTAGTTCATCCATAATTAAATGCATAAAATAAAATTTTGTACACATATTTTTTATATTCATCTAGCGTTAGAACGCAGAACAAACTGAAAATGAAATAAATATAGAATCATAACTTAAATTATGAAGTTAATGCTATAGAAATGTTACGTAATTTTTTTTCAAATAGAGCTGTGAAAGATATATATATTCTCGAGTTGTAAAACGCCGTTTACATACAATACCAAAATTGCTCGTCTACCGGGCCACACCGGAATTTTTCAGGACACCCATTTGCTCCTAATACAGCTGTGCAATTTTTTTCCTTGTAGTAGTTGTAATAGTTCCAGTTGCAATCGTTTGCAAATATACCTGTGAAACCAAAAATACTTGCATTAATTAAATTAAATCTTGACTTGAAATTTATCAACATTACTCCTTTTATTTGAACGGCTCAATGTTATGCAAATTCAAGTTTTTTTAAGCAGGCTATTGTGAAACTTAAAATGAGACAAACGAAGTAACATCTTTGGCTTAGATTCAGAAGAAAAAAATAATTAAAAATAGTTAATTTCTGAAGAGAGTTCCGATTGTCTTAAAAAACTACGAGAAATTAATGTGGCCTTTTTTGCCGGTTTTTAAAATAGTATTTCTTCTGCTTGCCCAGCAGGCACTTCACACCTGCAATATAAAGAACATATGAAATTCACTATTCTTGAACTTGAAAGACACCAATTATGAGACAATATTTTCAAGGGTATTCTATCAGAGAGTAAATTTTCTCTAATCTACTGCAGGAAGATTGAGCATGTGCTTTACAATTGTTAAATGGCTTTCATTTACCTCAATGCAACCTCTCATCTAACAGACGGTTGATTTGGTTTTGTTCCTTTAATTCAAAACAAGCATTCTAAGACTATCTGCCTAAGAGGAGGGATGCCTTCGTGGAACATTTTCTAAGGGAACGGGATGGTATAACGTTACACATGGAGAAACCCACGAAAGCGCCCATGCAGCTAGCCTTTCGCCGGGATTCGAACCCGGTTCAAACAACCAGTGTTCAGCGATTTTACCCCTCAGCCGCGGGTTGGCTCTGTAACATCTGTTGAGCTGTAACATCCTAGAAAGCCACCTGTTGAGCAGAAGATTGTCAGTTCGCCATTTGGTATATCATACAATGTAAACCGACAAGATATCTTCCGAACAAAGTCTACATCGAACAGAATTAAGCAATTGCAGTCATTCACTGGTTTCGTTCATAAAATAGGCGTTTAACTATTAATAATGAAAATGTTAATTTAAAAATTGGAGGAATTGATTTTTGTACTCATTAATGCAGCTATTTTCACAGTTTTGGGCAAGAGCATTTGGCACTGTTGGCTTTCGGAACAAGCAGCACAAATTTTACGTTGTATAATCTGACGAATTAAACGGGCAATGTGCTCTAGTTTCAATCGTGTCCTATTCTCTATCATACATAATACAATAAATTTTAGCCAAGGCTTACACGTTTCAAAAGAAAACATTTACGATAAGTAACTTAAAGCACTTCGTTCTAAGAAAATTTTGTTGGAAACTACGTATGCTTAGTTCAAGAGCAAACCATTAAACAAAACTGAATATTCTTAAAATAAAAATAGCGTAATCTTAGAAGTTAATAAGTATTATAAATTGTATCTTAAAAAGAAAATATAGCTAGGTAGTTGGATATCATCTACAGAACCCAGTTTTAAAAGAATCTGAATTTACAAAAAAAAAAAAAAAAAAAAAAAAAAAAAAAAAAAAATCTTAATTTTATTTAGGATAAATAAGAAAATGCATTTCGAAGTATTACAAGTTAATCTTTAGTTACTAATTTTCATGTATATTTTTGTGCAATCCGAAATACAAAAGATAGTTGCGATAGAAAAAATAAAGCACACGAAAGCTAGAGCTTGAAAGAGGAATGCCTTTACAGAGGACTGAGGAAAGCATATGTATTCACGTTAAAATTTGGTAAAACTCGTAAATAAACGAGTAAAACCTATTCACATTTAAATATGGTCAAATTATCAGTGCTCAATGGCCTTATTCATGCTGCCATTTGTAGACAAAATGTCGAAGAATCTTCGGGCTTAAATGCTGCTCAAAATTAAACATAGAAAGCAGCAGAATTGGACGAATTCGGCGAATTCGTGTTGGAAGGTTTTAACAAAAAAGTTAACTTTTACGGCCTTACTATTTTACATTCCTGCTTATATAATCAACATTCGAACATTTTCACGAGAAATTTATAAAACATATGGTAGTTTTAATTGTTTTATGTTATTTCCTAGAAAGGTGTCAACGCTAATATTTCATTTACAGTTTTTATAGCAGACGTTTTTAAAAATGGCTGTAGGTTCGTGATTCTCTCGCAAGTATTCACCCCAAAGAAGTACAGACGTATTTAACATTGCAAAATCTGAAGTGAATCAGGGAATTTGAAAATTTTTTATATAGTTTTAGAGGAGAAAACAATCTAAAGCAAGACATGAAAGAAACTAACCACGACGATCAACTGAAAGATATAGCGGCACCATGTAGTGGAAAAAATGCTAGGAATACTGATGGAAAAAGACCAATTTAAATTTCTTTTAAGGTGACTTATTCATCTTATTTTGCTTGACATCGCAAAGGATCTTGCTAGGTTTGCTTATTAAAGTTATGCATTGAATGATTATCTATTAAAGAACGAGGTTTATGTGGAAAATATTTCAAAGAATTGGTTCCTGTTTATATTAAACGCGTGCGTAATAGCATTGACTAAATTAATAAGCTTTTTTTGAAAGGCATACGCTTTAGTAAATTTCTAGCAAAAGACACATTATATGCTTAAAAGTGCAGAAATTTGAATACCTTTACGCAACAGTAAAATACTAAATTAAAACATGTTTATGAAAGAATGTTATTGCAAAATTTTGATAAATTCAGAATGCATGTACGAAAAGAAAAGGTACATTTAACTACCACTTCTCAAAGCTTAACAATAAATTTGTGGCTGTGTCATCGGCACAGCCTACTTGTTAAATTTTAATCTGATTTTAGAATTTATGAAACTTCGAAGAGGAGCTAATTCTGATGTGATAAAATTTGTTTTAAGTTTACTAAACAATGGTAAATTTAAAATTATACGACGAAGTTTCATATGCGTCCAGAATATAATTGGAGAGTACTCAGAGTGGTCCAAAATGAAATTTTAAGGAGGAAGAATGTTGAACGCAGTTGCATAAAGCAAAGTGCTGGTAAATAATAAAGCTGTACCCCGAAGTAAGTGCCTCTAAACGTGTGAAATCTCTGCAAACACCAGGAGACTTATTTGTGCCCAAACCGTACGAAATGTCATCGGAAACGTTGGTTGTGATGGTGGAGTAGGAAGAAACCTTTTCCAAGTTCGTAAAATTAAGAAGTTTAAAGGTTTTTTCTGGGATGAAATCAAATTTAATACTTCGAGAGTGATAGTCATCGCATTGTTTGGAGAATGCAAAACGCTACTCCTAGTCCTTTTCATGTCAGCTGGTAAAACATAGTTTGGAGTTGTATAGTCGCAAAGCGAAGTTGGAAAGCTTGTTTACATTGAACACATGATGTATTGAAATGACTCTGAAAAACATCTAAAGTAAAGTAGTATTAATTTCATATTTCAGGGAGATTAATGTTCCTAAACATGCGATTCATAATGTGAAAATAGTTGTATTTATCGATGTAAGTAGCCAATACATACTCGTCCTTAGTCTCCAGACATCAAAGTCATTAATCTGTGGACAGACGCTGTGCAGCAACATAAAACAAGCACAGATTTGAAGTGTGGTCGGCAAGAAGGGAAAAAGTATTTCGATACAACTAAAAACTTTGTCGAGTCTAGCACGAAGCAATAATAAAGTGTAAAGGACATGCAAATAAACTGACATTTCCAGAATTATTAAAAACACTTTTTTTACTATACTTAATTTGTGAAGCGAAAATGTAATTTTAAATGCTACATTTATTTCAGTATTAATCCCAGAAATAAAAGTATTCAATAAGTATATGAAATAAAAACATCTTTATAATTATTAGGAATTATTTGCTTAAAAAATTACATTATCAATAAAAAATTAAGTGTATTTTTCATTTTTGGAGTCGCTTTGCATGAACATACAAGCAACTCTTCCATTCTTAGGAATATAAAAAGTTAATCTATGACAAGTTGCGAATATTCCATAGCTTTAGGCACTATTTAAATAAAGTATTTTAATCGGTTATAATTTGAAGTAATGAAACTTACTCCAGCAACTACAAGGATGAAGCTGAAATTTCAAACAATTTAAACATTCCGAAATAAATCACTTATAGCTGTCTCAGGTTACGTATTTATTTTAGCGACTACTTAATTGAGGAGTAACTATGGAAAGCGTTGGATGTTCCATGGCTTTCTAGAATCCAGGAACACAAATCAGGTTTCCTTCGATTTTTAAGTATGCTTAGCGAATTATTCCTTAGTATACTTTTCAATCTTTTGTAAGTGATACTCAACTTATTTCGCGCTGATTTCACATTCTTTGTAGAGTTTTAAAATGATTATATTGCAGATTCAATAATTAGGGAGAAAATTTAAATTACATTTGATAGTTTCTGGAAATCGGGATTTTGTTACCAGAGGGTTCAGGCAGTTATTAGTTTCTAAAAGATAATGCAGATATTAAGAACAAATTCCCTTTCCGCTTAGGTGTATTCATCGTTACGGGGATGTTCTTCTAAACATTTTATCTTTAAAACATAATGTAACCTGCCAGAAATTTTTTACTCGCTAGAAAATTAACGGATCTGGAGCTTTTTGCTTTAATATGTAATCCATATTTTACGATATTAACAATTCAAAACATGGCTGAATGATCACCAAGATCGGTAACATAAAACAAACAAAAGATCGATTATTGGTTCACGAGATTAAATGCGAGAATATTCCTCGACAGAGCTATTATTAAACTATTTCTAAGAAAAAACAGTGCATCTTTATGAAAGCATATTGTTTGTGCAAATTTCGAGTGCTTCTAACTTTATATTTCACATTTAAACAAGTATATATTTGGCGATAAAAGTTTTATTTTCTAACTATACTATTTCAGTTAAAGCAGCGATACCACACATTGAAAGCCAAATTATTTCATTGAAATATTCTTATCAGATTTCAAAATGTTTGAAGGCATTTCAGGTAAAAGTGTTCAGAGGGTAATATTTTAATAAACTCTGATTTCGATTAGTATTTTACGGATTACTGATATGTAACCAGTTTTGAACACTATCGAAATGCGTATATGTATTAATTACTTCAGAAACTTCAGCGCATTACGAAAATTAGTATATTCCTTTATTAAAATGGCCACTGAGACTGATAATAGATATTAGAAAATTTAATTACTGAAGGCCAATATGGTTGTTTCTTTCAATTTTAGAACTTTACCTATTACAGGTGGAAAGTGGAAAAACAAAGTCATTTTAAAAACAAAATTAAATTTTACGTTCTTAATACGTTTCGGAAAAAATCTAGCTTAAGCATTCGCTTTAGGAAAAGTCTTTGAGAAAAAGGAATTCATATTGATAGTGGAGACTCTTGAAAGAAAATTACAACGTTGAAACCCAGACTAATTCAACGGCTACAAAAAAGTAAGAAGCCATTTTCTACATTAAAATTGCTTCTCTGTAAAAATGTGTTAAAGTACAACATCTCAAGAACTAGGTAAGGATAATTTTTCTTCTTACAAGATTTGTTTGATTTTCAACAGAAATAATTCTCTCAAATCAAAAGATTAACGTCTAAAACATGGACTAACTTAAAACGTTATTTTATTTTTTAAAAAATTTTTAAGGGTTATATGAAGTCTAGTAGCAATTTTCAAACTGAATGCCTCTTCATTATTTTTAATTATTTAACATTGTCAGCAATATCGAAGAATAGTCATTAATATACTTCGTTAATTAATTAAATTCTGTACGGTAGATACAACATCTTTAAATGACGTTTGTTAACCAGATATATATAATTAAGTCTGCAAGTTCCTGAAATTACTTCTTACACCACAAAGGCAAGCACGCGTAATCTATTTTAATGATCATTAAAAGGTAGAAAAGTATTCGTATTATTATTAAACTATTCATTATATATAAACATCAGAAAATGAAAACTGCTTACATGCAACCAGGAGAAAAGTGAATATCCAGAGACAGCAATACCTATCCATAACTATCTCACATAAAAATGCTTCAACGTAAACTACACTTGTAACTGCTACATTTATATATAGTTCAGAGAAAAATTAAAAACATTACGTCATAGACTACCCTTTTAGGTTTTAAATCCTTGAAAGAAAAATCAAAGAAATGTTTTAAACTCAAAAGATAAAATTCAATTCAAAGTTGCTTAATACAATGAATACTAATGCTCTTATATGTTAGGGTATTATTATTTAAACAGTTGTTACACGTTCTGTGTTTGAGTTTTAATTATTAATTTGAAAAAAGGTTAATTAGGAGAAAATAAGATATACTAGCAAATGCGTATCTACTGCAAGCAAATCTAAATTAAAATTTTTTTTTTAATTTAGATTGCCGGAGACAAAGCTACTTGGATTAAAATGAGGGGGAAAATTAAGTGATACAATAATTTTTTCACAGCGGTTATTCCCATAATTACGAGTCAAATATGGAGGCGGAAAATAGCCTTAAAGTTTCTACTTTAAAGTAACAAACTATAATAGATGTCACTTTTGTCTCTGATGCATTCTTTTGGTTTCTCCTGCACATTGGCTGCAATACTGATATTCTCAATCTCCCGCAGAGTGCACTGTAACAGCCCTAAACTGAATGTAAAAGAAATTTCATTTAGGGAGAATTAAAACAGAAGCAGTGGCAAAAGGTGTGCTATGTATCATAGTTGTATAAAGTGTATTAAAGAGTATATAGGTTAAATAAGGATTTATTATTCCTAAGTGTATTTCGCACATACTAATATCAGAAAAATTATGTACATATTCTCCTATCTCTACATTTTCTTTGTGGATACATGTAAAATAATATTATCGCGTTGAATCTACCTGAATATTATTTCATTAGTCGTTCTCGCCTTTAAATTAAATCTGACTCCCATTCCATAACTCTTGAAAAGAAATATTTTAAATAAATAATTACATTTTCTTACTTAAGAAAGCCAAAACTTTATTTGCTTACACACTTAAGGAAATCAAAACATTGTTCTAATCTTTCTTACTGTTGCCAAACTACAAAAACAAAACTAAAAAACCAGTAAAAGGAAAAACACAGCTGCGTTAACAAATATAAATCATGGAGCTCACAACAAATATGTAAACCTAAGCTTGCAATTTTTTAAGCATAAAATTCCGTTTACGTTTCCGGAGTATGTAAGGTTAAAATAGTATTTATAGTAAAACACTCTGCTAATCTCAAGATTAAATTTATGCATAACATAAAATTTATACTGCTGGAATATATACTCAGAGATATATTTTACTTTTCATCACCAGTACTTTACAGCTTGCAAATGTGTTGCACACGAATACATGGATATTTATATGCTGCTTTTCTGTTTAAATGTCTTACTTTACATCGGAGCAGAAGACGTGAAAAATATGCAATGCCCTTGATGGGATTCGAACTTCCGTCCTTTTGATGCTAGCCGGATTTGCTTTCCAGTAATATGGTGGAAGCACGCTGTAAGGACGAAGGAAATATTTCACACTCTAATTCACTTTAAAGGGCAACTGGAAAAGAAGGGACCCAATCGCTAAATCCTGATGGTGACGAATTATCTTCTACCAGATTTTTTAGTTCGGGCGCCAGTTGTAGGGTCTTTAGTTTTTTTTAAGCCAAGAAACCGAAGAAATCAAGTATTGATAAATTTTGAATGCCTCTGTCTAATTAATTTTAAAATACTAAATTTTTAGAATTTTCAAGCGTTCTTTAAAATATGACCAAAATTCAAAATTATTTTTCAAGTGTTTTGACTCTTAAATTTTTAAGATGCCTCAACTTTATTGTAATAAAAATACATCTAAACCAAGAATAAAATACTTTGTTTTCAATCAGTGAATAACAGCGTATATAATTAGATTTAAAAACTGATTGCAAAACTTGTGTTACTTAGAAATAATTACACCACTTGACGTAAGAATTGTTATTTCATTTTCTACTAAAAGCCATCTGTGATAAGGTGAGTGGAAAAAGATTGCGTTGTCACTTTTTTTTAATCTAGAAACCACAAATAAGTATTCAATATACCAAATGAATGGGAGATATCTAAATTGAGTGCCTGATAACTCGCTTACAGTGCTATTATCTTAAAAATTGCCTTGACCTGATGTTATGCTTTGATAAATTAATCGAAGATAAAATTAATTTTATCGAAGATTTATGTCTTATGAAATGGGGTGTTTCATAATTGCTCAATTTATTGAGGTCACTTATTCGGCACGCGAAGGCTAATCTTAAAAAAAATACACACATTTATTTTATTTAAACTGCACACATGTGTCACAAATAGACAGAAATTTCTGTAGTCTTACATACATATTTTTCATTCATACATACATATTCATTCATACACATTCAGCGTACATACATGTACATATGTATTCATACATAATCTCAGATTTAAATAACTGAACATAAAAAGAAAAAGATTTAAGTAAATTTACAAGAATTTATAAGAATTAAAAGACAACTTGCAAACGGGTGATTTCTAACTTATTCACTATTTAATCATTAATGGAAGTCTAAATAGGTACAGGTTGCAGCAAGGCTGGAAACTATGCATTCCGAAAGGTATATTAAGTATCGACGAGCCTTGCTAACTGTCAGTTCATCGCCGCTTCTTGACGCACGACTCTTTAAGCTGATTTTCTCTGCCCTTCTGATAAATATTAATTTTTGCTTTTTTCCCTCTTATGGCCAGCAGCTTTCCACCTGATAGGGTTAAGATTCCGTGGCATGCATCGGTTAACGAATTTATAGATATTCAGCCTCCGAATATTCTCCTAAATAGGACATCTCTCAGACTAGTCAAATGAGCGAACAGAATGTTATAATTAGGGCATTTGAATGACGAAAAATAGAAATCAGGCCTATAAACGAACAATTCCTGTGAAAAAACCCTGTTCAATAACAAAACAAAACTAAAAAGCTTAAAGCTTCTCCAACGTCTGTCTCTAAAAATGTAATAGACCGGCACAAAACTATTTTCCTTAATCTTACGGAAGGTTTCTCTTCAGCGAATGAAGCCAGATAACATATCAGTAAACCACAAGAGTCTGCCTCATTTTTAGAAGCAATTCGTTCAGAGAACTGGGTCACCTCCTCGCACACCTACAAACCAGTAGTAACAATTAATAAGAATACTGCAATATCTCAAAACAAGAGATGTGAAATACTTGCACAGCAAAGTAAAGAAAATCTAGAAGAGATGGACACCGAACTCGGAAAATATCCCGCCTATTTTTATGACAGAAGCTAAACCGGACTCATATCTGAGGATAATATGCTTCAAGAGACATGCAAAACAGAATTTTAGACCGAAATGAAAAATAGAGCTATTTATTTACGCACCAACACCGTAGATGACTGCAAAAATACTATGACAAATCTGCAAAAAGCCGATATTAGTTTTTATACATCTTAAACTCAGTTCTGAAGTCATATTTAGAAACATCCTCAGTACAGTCATCGAAGACGAAATCTTCCAAGTTCTAGAGAGACGACTCTTCCTCATCACAAAAGTAAAGTAACTCTCTAAAATACTTAATGATAATAACATATGACTGCCTATTTACTTGTTAGAACTCAAAAGAAATACGAAGAGAGAAGGAATTTACAGACTCAACAAATTTTTCAAATTTCACATCCTTACTGAAAAATATACACCTAAAAAGGGTCCAATTCAATGTTTTAATTGTCAAGAATAAGGACATTTTCAACAAAATTTCTTCAAACAAGTAAGATGCCGTAAATGTACAAAACCTCATCGTAGCAACACATGCAAATTATGTCCTGAAAAAAACCTAAATGTCTCTTTTGCTCAAAAATCACGTAAGCTCTTTCAGAGGTTGCAAGAAAGATTCTAAAATTCAACTAAAACTGCCAACAAACCAGACTCACCTTAAATGGAAGATTTTCCAGTTTTTATTTTAAACAACTCTTCAGACAAACCCAGCCATTCAGGACAAAAATACAGCGATATCCTAAAGAAAAAGCTGTCATCAGCAGAAGATATTACAGATATTCAAAGATCCGAAAGTTTTCAAGTTAATGAATGAAATGACTACTTAAGCTCAAAAAATCATAAACACAAAATCCATAAATAAAAAAAAAATTAATACCTGTCAAGACTGTTAAAATCATGATAAAATTTGCAGAATAAGATTTCCCTCTACATTTACTATGCAGCCGAGTGGGTTTAATTCAACTTCTTTAGACCTCATCATCGTCCGACACACGATTCCTTTTTTTCGTCCTTTGGCTACGAGAATAATCCTCATACACACATTAGCTTTCTCCACTTTTTTATGAGCTAGGGCGCCTGTGTGAATGGATCGTGGAGAAGATCTAATTTAGAGCTATACAAGATCTATAGACAACCTGATGTAGTAAAATATTTCAAATTACAAAGATTTAAATGAGCTGGTCGTCTGGCCAGAATGCATGGAGATCACTGTTGTAAGAAAATCTTTCCGGCGAAGCCCATGGGTAGATTCTTGGTGAGATGGATCAATGGTGTTGAAAATGACCGTAACATTCTAAAGGGCAAAAACTGGAAAACAGTTGCAAAAAACAGAGATGTCTAGAGAAGGCGAACATTTCTATCAAAAAATACATCTCATGGCTCAGTCATTCAATCACTACAAAACCACATCCACGCATTAGAGTCCTGGCTAACAGCCTGGAAGATAAAATAAATATTGAAAAACCTGACGGCATATTATTCACCAAGAAGAGGAAGATGGATTCTTCATTATTTGTCTACAGGTATGGCATCCCTATCCCGTGGGCCAAGAAGGCCCGTTAATTCGGAGTTATTTTAGATTACTAGCTCACATAGTCCCCACACATTACACAGCTCTTAGCCAAGTTCCGAGCGCGTAAACGTACACTAGCCCCTTTTATCGCTCGGAACAGCGATTGAAACTATTGAAATAAAATAATCATTTAAAATTCCCTTTTGCGTCTCATACTCACCTGTGCCTGCCCTGTTTGGGGTTA